CCCCCCCCCCCCCCCCCCCCCAGTTGTCAGTGTTGTCTTTTAAACGAAATAGGGCCATATGCTAGTAGATGGAATAATGTCTGAAACGCAAATCGAGTATTTTTAGCTTCAGTTTTAAGAATCACACTACTTTCGGATAGATATATTGGCCGGTTTAGCCTGGTCTTGGCTTCTGAAAACCGACTGAGACGTCGCTACAAATCATCCAAACAAGAATTTCATAATATTCACAGATACCATTAAAAATCCGTCGTAATTCAAAACATCGGTATTTTTCAAGTTGCCGGACATTCTTTACATTTTATACAGTTAATATTTGTGAATTATTTGCTCTTAAACAAAGCTAAACCCGTAAAAATGAGTCTGTAGTCAGGGAGTACAGCGGTATTCACCAGAAAATGTAACTAAAATGACGTCAAACACTTGTCAATTTTTAATATGTCAATATTGTTTTAATCAGCTGAATGAATGTCATAAATCTCATTACCAGCCTACAATGACAGGCAAACACTGCCCGTCATGTGCTGTCAACCAGAGAGTATTCTATTGCTTGGTATCAATCAGCTGAATGAATCTCATGAATCTCATTACCAGCCTACAATGACAGGCAAACACTGCCCGTCATGTGCTATCAGCCAGAGAGTATTCTATTGCTTGGTATCAATCAGCTGAATGAATCTCATGAATCTCATTACATGCCTACAATGACAGGCAAACACTGCCCGTCATGTGCTATCAACCAGAGAGTATTCTATTGCTTGGTATCGATCAGCTGAATGAATCTCATGAATCTCATTACATGCCTACAATGACAGACAAACACTGCCCATCATGTGCTATTTACCAGCAGAGGGCGAGTATTCTACTGTATTGCTTGGTACGTACAATCGTATTATATTTTTCTACAATTTGGGACCATACTTCCAGACATCGAGTGCTGAACCGTCGTATGGCAGCGCGAAGCATTTACGGCTACGCCAGAGATTTCGGCCCCGACACCGCTATCCGTAATGACTGATCAGGAAGCTCGGCCGAAACCTAAGGGAGAGGTTAGTCGGCCCCTAGACCTTAGATGATTAACCCCTTGCTATGACCAGCAGCCAGTCGCAAAAAAGATTCCTATCGACTAAACTCGTATAATAGAGTTGCTCAATGTGGGATGGGTTTTGAAACTTAGTTAGACATACGGGTAGTTCTAGACATGCGCAGGAGTGGTATTGAAACAAGGTACCGACTGATCTATATCTAAGAATAAGAATTGAGGTTTCAAGTTTATTTGAATATTTCCACTAATAACAGTAGAATAAGCACGTTGTAGAAGACAATATACAATGAACATTTTCTCCTGGAAAAATTTTCAGTTTTGATAGAGTAAAAGGTGTTTTTACTGAACCTAAATCTGGATCTAAAGTCGCGATTACGTGGAGCGATTTAATTTTCTTTGCAATTTGTGCACAAGTTGCATGGACCATTGCAGCGTGTAACGTACAGCGCAATTTGAAAAATGTTGCCAGACAAGTTGCAGCAATCATTGCGAAAAGTAGAATTCGTTTCAACTTTTGGCAACGTTTGCGTCTCCGTTGCACCGTGTAGACACCCTTACAACTTTTGTCGCAACGCTGTTGGGAGACAAGTTGCAGAGAAAATTGCTCCGAGTAATCGCGCCTTAAGTACAAAGTGTTCACTGGCTGACTAATAAAATATCAATTGTATCGAACCCTGAAACAACCTCTGCATGGGCTGATCTAAGTCAGGGCATGGCTAACTCACAGATAGAACCCTGAAACAACCTCTGGGCTGATCTAAGTCAGGGCACGGCTAACTCACAGATAGAACCCTGAAACAACCTCTGGGCTGATCTAAGTCAGGGCATGGCTAACTCACAGATAGAACCCTGAAACAACC